ACTTCATGTCTAAAAGTTCTAACTGCACCGAGATTTCCCAATAGTGCAGAGCTCCACATACAATCTGTCTAAATGCCTCAGTCCTGCCGTTTGTGCACCATCGTCACTTTCTCATATTGCAAAAATAGCCACAGACAATAGTAAACAAAAGAGCATGGCTTTTTGGATTTATATAATTGTCCTGTGTCACAAAAGGATATTCTTCTTTTGATTTCTTTCCAATCATTTAACCTAATTTTAAAATATGGGTTAGAAACTTATGGATGATATAAAGAGAGATGCAGGGTTAGATTTGGCCTGCAGGCAACATCTGTTCTAAACAAAATTCCACCTAAATTCCTATCTTGTTCTCATCTAGCTGTGAATTAAGAGAATTCTAATTGCCAGTGGCAATTAAAAGGTTAAAAGAATCCAGCTGATGAAATGCAGTCACTTCAAACTTCAACGAACCTTTCATGCAAGATGACAATCTGAGCATCAAAATCCTTTTAGATGCTGGTTGCTATCAAGTTTGACTCCACATTGACGTCATCTAGAGGACAGTAAAGATCTCTCATGCCCAGTCTGATTATATCAGAATCTCTAGAATGAGACCCAGAGATCAGTATTTTTAAAATCTTCTTAGCGATTTCAATGGGTAGATAAGGCTGCGAATTACTGCTCTCAAGAGGACAAAGAAGGAGACGTTATCAAGGTAAAGAAAAGGTGATTTTTTTCTGTTTGCTAATATATGCTCATTTTGTAATATCTGCATGTGTGGAAGAAATGGGTCTTAGCCTTGCTTTCACAATGCTATGAGAATAGTTAACATGCATGCACACCTCATATACCACAAAGGGAATGAAAAGACAGTGAAAAGACAACCTATGAATGGGAGAAAATACTTGCAAATCATATATCTGAAAAACATTATTATCTAAAATACAAAAAGAACTCATACAACTCAACAGAAAACAAATTTTAAAAATGGTCAGAGATCCTGAATAGACATTTTTCCAAAGAAACCACACAAATAGTTAACGTGCATGTGAAAAGATGCTCAACATCATTAATCATCAGAGAGATGAAATCAAAACCACAATGAGATACCACAATGAGAATGACTACTATCATAAAGACAAGAGATAATACATGTTGGTAAGGAGGTAGAGAAAAGAGAACTCTTGTGCACTATTGGTGGGAATGTAAATTGGTGTAGTGAGTATGGAAAATAAAATGGAATTTCCTTTTAAAATTACAAATAGGGGGCCTCCCCGGTGGCGCAGCAGTTGAGCCCTGGGCTGTGACGCTGCCCGCAGCCTCTGCAGCACAGGTTTGATCCCCAGCTGCCGGGGAGGGTCCCACATGGAGTGCAGACCTCTCCTGCCATGCCCGCTGCTCCCCTCAGCAGTGGATTTCATCAGTCTGCCTGTTCTGCTCCCCACTCTGGCTCTGGTGAATTCTCTCACCCTCCCGTGCTTCTGACTGTCCCCAGTGCTTTTATAAATAAATAAATCTTTTTTAAAAATAAATAAATAAATAAATAAATAAATAAAATTACAAATAGGGGCCTCCCTATTTGGCATAAACGGTTAAGTCACAGCACTATGAAGCAATCTGCAGCCACTGCAGCACAAGTTGGATCCCTGGCCAGGGAGATGACCCACATGCGGCAGCAGACGTCTGCTGTCTCATCCACTGCTCCCCTCAGGAGTGTATTTCAGTAGATCTGCCTATTCTGCTCCCTACTCTGTCTCTGGTGAATGAATCCTCTCACCACCCATACCTCTGGCCTGTATCCCAGTTCTTTATACATAAATAAATAAATCTTTAAATAAAATAAATAAAATTACAAATAAAAGTGCCATATGACCCAACAATTCCACTTCTGGGTTTTTATCCAAAGTTAATGAAATTGTGTTCTCAAAGAATATAAACAACTTCATGATCATTGCAGCATTATTTACAAGACAAGATATGGAAACACCATAAAATTGATTACATATCCATTGATAAATGGATAAAGAAAATGTGGTATATACATACAATGGAATATGATTCAACCATAAAAGAGGGAAATTTTGCCAACTATATGGATGAATCTTGAGGGTATTTTGCTAAATGAAATAAGTTAGACAGAGAAAGATAAACACTGTATGATCTCCCATGTGTGGAATCTAAAACAGAATAAAAAACCAAATTCATAGATACAGAGAACAGTTTGGTGGTGGCCACAGGAGGAGAATGCGGTGGGCATAGGGCATGGGGGGGCAAAATAGGCAAAGGTAGTTAAAAGATTACAAACGTCTATTCATAAAGTAAACAAGTTATAGTATGTAATGCACAGCACAGTGATTCTAGCTATACCATATTGTGTATTTGAAAATGTCTAAGACAAAAATCATAAAATCACAAGAATTTTCATAACAAAAAATACTTTGTAGCTATGTGAGATGATAGGATTTAACTAAAGATATTGTAATAATTTCACAATACATACATATATCAAATCATTATGTTGTATACTTAAAACAAATACATTATGTGTCAATTATACCTAAATAATAATAACAATAATAATAACAAGCCTGATATTGCAGATGAGGAAACCAATGCTTAGGAAAGTTTACACACACTACTAAAACGGGAGATGAAAACTTAAATCTGCAGGGTGCTAGCCCGATGATTGTGCTACTGAGAAATTGAAATTATGAACACGCTGTCAGATACCTTTGCAGTATCATAGAGTCCAATAAATGCTGAATCTTTTTAACTCTATATGCTGAGAGTTTGTAAAGATTTATTGGGAATATTCAGTTTGGACAAGGCAACTCTGTTCTAAATATCCCTCTGAAAACCTTGAGACATTTGCTCCTGCCTAGACCCAAAACAAAACCTTGTTGGCAGTAGTGTTAAACTGCAGAGCACTCTCTGGAAGATCTAAGCACTCTCTTTTGTCTCAGAAGGAACGTCTTATAGACAGTGGTACTAAAGTGTAACAGTGTCAGAAAGAACAGGGACATCACCTGGGCCTCCCTGGTAACGCAAGGGGTTAAATCTCAGCACTTGAAGCTATCTGCAGCACAAGTTAGATCCCTGCCAGGGAGCTACCCACATGGGCAACAGACTTCTCCTGTCTAGTTCACTGCTCCCCTCAGCAGTGTATTTCAGTCAGTCTGCCTGTTCTGTTCCCCACTCTGTCTCTGGTGGATACTCTCTACCTCCCCCCAAAACCTCCCTCCCACACCTCTGGTCTACACCCCCATTTCTTGTATGCATAATTAAATTAAATAAATCTTCAAAAAAAAAAAAAAAAGAATAGGGACATCAATTTCTATCCAAGTGAGGCCTTTTCTCAGTTGACAGACTTACTCCAGGAAACTATTCCTGGAACTATCACCTCTGAGCAGCCCAGTTTGTTTGTAAACACCATTGCCTTTGTTCCCCAAGCATTGAACTCCAGCAACTTCCCATGGGGCATTAAGGTCTTGGGAGGTGAGGCTGGCACTCCCTTCCTCTTGGAAAGATACACTTCAGCTAAATTTTCACTTCATTACTTTTATCTCCACTTTGCCTGGAACATTAGTGTATTAATCCACATTAGTGTATTAATCCACATTAATCCACTACTGGTTTTGAGCTTGTTATTTCTGTATTGGTTTATTAAGAGACACTATTCTGTATGTTATTAGTTTGAATAAGTTTTATTATAAATTTTACAGCCCACAGTAAACCTGTGCTAAATATAATATTGACAAAGACAATCTTGGTCTCTGAGGAAATATTTATTGTATATCGACCCCACCCCCACCCCCGCTCCCGCCACAGAGGGGCAAAGTATTTCCTAAAATCACCTGGAGAGTCCATGTTGGACTCAATCCAGAGTCTGAGCACTGAAGGCAGGCAGAGGCTACCCACGCCTTTGTAAGGCAAAACCTCCATTCTACTTGATCATGGTGATAGCTATACCTTGCACACAATTATTAAAATTAATTAAGCTATACATTTAAAAGTGAGGAATTTTAATATGTGTAAATAATAACCCATATAAATAAAGAGGGGGAAAGCAACTGTATATGTATATATACATACATACATATATATAATTAAAATTAATTTCACCTATTAGTTTTTTCCTGACCTTACAGTTGCTGCCATTTATGGGGGTAGGGGGTTTCTACATGGGAGGGACTGTGCTGAGGGCTTCACATTTCGTATCTCATGAGTTGGCAGCGTGAGTGTGGCCTGTCTAACCGCTCAGCTGCATTGTCTGAGTCTTTCTGGGTGACATTTTCTGAAATCGCATACCTAGAACTCAATAAAGTCCTGCTAGGACTAAATAGGATTTAATTTTACATTGGTGAAATGGCTCTTCCCTCTCTGTATAACTAGAGAGGTTACTAAACACACCTGTCAGGGAAGCCAGCCATGGAAAAATCATTTCATTCTCACCACAACCCTTTGTGGGTAGATGGTATGATTGTTCCCACTTCACAGATGCTGAAGCTTAGGGACAGGGTCATAACAGCACTATTTACAATAGCTAAGCTTTGGAAACAACCCAAATGCCCAAAAATAGATGACTGGATCAAGAAGATGTGGCACATATACACCATGGAATATTACTCAGCATTCAAAAAAGATAAACACATGCAATTTGCAGCAACATGGATGGCGCTGGAAGGGCTCATGCTCAGCGAAATAAGCCAGAAAGAAAAAGAAAAATACCAGATGGTCTCACTCATAGCAGGAATCTAGAAAACTTAAATAAGGGACCAGGAAAATGAATAACTATAAGAAAGTGAAAATCAAAATCAACAAACAACTATGAACCAGAGACACTCTACAGGGGCAGGGGGTGGGGAAAGGGGGAATGGGATCAAAATAAGGGGGTCGCAATTGTATGGGGAATATAAAAATAAAATTTAAATTAAAAAAAACAAACATAAATAAAACAGGTGGGTGACAGCAAGACAGGCTGATCCCAGGCAGGGGACAGCAGGGCAGGCTGATCCCAGATGGTCTGGTGTCAGGCAGGCTGCTGAGGTGCTGCTTGGGAGCTAAGATAGATGGAATATCTATCTTGGGAGCTGGAATAGATGATAAAAGACTCTTTTACAGAGGGGTGTTCTGTTTCCAGGAACAGGTTGCTGGGGTAAGATATGATCTGGGAGCCTAGTCACAGTGGCTGGGCAAAGGCACACCCTCGGGACACAAACGGCCAAGCAAGGCACTGGGGAAGGAGCTGTTTGCTGTAAGCCTCACAGAGCCCTTTGGGTTCCAGAAGACTTTTGCAAGATGTATTACCTGCTGGGTGGCAGACACTTTATTGAATAGAGAATGGCAGGAATTTTGCAAGTGCACCTTCGGGTTCTCCAGCACATTGTTTCAGTTTCACTTTTCTTGTTAAATAAATGAAACTTGAAAGGGACCCACCCCTTGATCCTGAACGAAACTGCTGCCTGACAGACTGCAACAGTCAGATACAGATGGGCACCATGGCCATGATGCAGACCCCAGAGCGCCTCATTCCCGGGCAGAACTGTGTGCTGATCCTCATCTTCACGGTGCTCCTGCAGTCTCTCTGCATGGCAGTGACCTACTTGTACTTCACCAACGAGCTGAAACAGGTCAGTACAATGCACAGTCCCTGACCAAGGCACTGAGCAACCCTCGTGTGAACTGCCTCTCTGCTCCTCTTTGAAGACTTTACAGTGGAAGAAAGTGCTCCTTTTCTCTGCCCCTGAGCCTAACCTGCTGAGACCCATCCATACTGAGGGCTTTGCAAAAGTTTGTTTGAGGGATTGAGGGAGGGAAGTGCAGTGCAGAGCTCGCTCCAGCAGTTATTAGCAAAACTCCTCAGGTAGTTTTCAGCTTGAAAGGCATACATTTTTATCACAGTAGCAATTGCTTTCTGCTAAATGCTTCTAGTTCGTGGCTGATTCTTGGGGGTGGGAGCAGCTGTATCAGGACAGGACTATGTCTGCTTTTAATACCATTGCATCTCTGGGGACTGGTGCAAGGGGTTTTCAACAAACACTTGTTGAATAAATAAGCAGCCCACATAACTGTGGTGGTGTCCTTAGTACACAGGGAGCAGGATAGAACCAGAACTCAGCCCAAAGCCCAGCCTAAACCACTAACAGGGCTGTTGTGTCCTGTTCCTGATGTGGCTCATCCCAGCAGATTTTCAGGCAGACCTTGCAGAAAACTAGACTTGGGCACTGCAGCGACAGAAATTATCTTTGTGCACTGTTTGCTTATCCTTCAGACTTCAAGTCTATTTACCAATGCTGGAATCTTCCTTTCACTTTATTCTTTAAATATCTTAAATTATTTGTTGGAAAACCTTCCTACAGACAAGTCAATCTTTTAAAAAGTTAGCAGGTAGAAAGATATATTCTAAACTAAACGAAATCTGAACTAACTAAACTCAGAAGCAAGTTGTGGAATGTCATCAGATTTCTCATTTTCCTCTAAGACATGATGTAAGGGTAAATCTCATCTCTGAAATATGTTAAGTTTTAGATGGCTTGTCTGTGCTGACAATAGTTGAGAATACACAGGACTAACATCTGCCTACTCCTTGGCTATAGGCATGTTCTGGGTAAAAGTCTGTTACAGAGAGTTTACAAAATGGACTCAGCATTTTACTGTTTATGATAAAACAATTGAAAATTAAACAATCATTCTATGCCTGTGAATGGTTCAAGTATATTTATAGGAAAAAATACCTAATGCCATGTTAATTTGTATATTTCCCAATTATATAAAATTTTGGGAACCAGTATTGAAAAATTGCTGAAAATAAGACAACTCAGCTTTTGACCTCTTAAAGCTATTTTAGCTAACCATGTGTTATGTAATAAACAGAAAACTGTAAGCTGAAAGGAATTTTGTACACCCTAAGACTTTTAGAAGTCTTCTAGTCTAGCAGACTTCTAGAGAAGTGACTTACCTAACCGCAGACAGTGATTTGCACATTGTAATGCATCTTGCATACTGCTGAATTGGGCTAGTGCAATAGCAAATTTCCAGCAGTCTAGGGAAATGAAAGGCTAAAGGTCTCAGATAAATATTAATTGCACAAAAGTCATGGAGTGCTTATCTATTAAGAAAATGCAGTCTGTATTCTGTGGAGTATTCTGTGGAGTATGCATTTGGTTAACCCATTCGGTCAGAAATGTTTCCTTTTTTTAAAATTATTTATTTTTTACATCACTGTTCATTTTTAACAGCATTTGCCACCACCCCACCCCAACCTGGTGTAGTCCCCATAGAATTTCCTTCACCAATGTACCCATGCAAGAAATTTTTCCTCTTGAAATAGATAAAGTAGAATCCTGTTTGATTTGCAAGTCATTATGAAAATGATGGCCACTGTTGGATGTGACCAGTAAAGTCAGATTTATTATAGATCTATTCACAAAAGCCTTTATATTTGTAAGAAAAAAATGAATGTAGCTATAATCATGCCTTTCATTCTTAGTCTGCATGAGAGGCTAGAATATTGCTGTGTTTACCAGTTTGTTGTTAACATGTCCCAGCCTTTGCTAACTTTGCAGCATAAACAGATTGAGTCTGTCTGTTCATATAGAAAAGTTTCCTTCAATTTGTTCACATTACAAGTTGCCCTAATTTAAAGACTGATTTAACTGGTTCTTTACTGAATTGACTCATGCAATTATCTGATCATGTTTTTTAAAATTCTACCTTAAAAATGGAAATGAAATTCCAAAGAAAGCTTAACATTTTCCAAATTACACACATTTATATATGTAGACAGGTATATATAGACATGCAGAATAATTTATTGCGAGTGGGGATAGAAGGAGAATTAACAGATATTAAGCAGATAGAAACTTTGAAAACTATTGCTCTATTTTAGCCTCATAACAATCCTGTAAAGTGTATATGTGTGTGTGTTACCCATTCTGTAGTTGAACAAACTAAGGTCTCAAAGACATTAGGTGATTTGTCTGAAGATTACCAAGTTAGTAAAAGGTAAAGCCCGGTTTTGAAACCAGGCATTAAGTAGGTGCTCAATAAATTGTAGCCATTGTACTTAGTATTGAGAAGTCTCTTGAACACTCTTGCATCAGGAATTTTTGCAAGGGAAAATAAATTAGAATCTCCTTGGTTGTCTGTGTAATATTTGGGAAAGTTTTGATATTATTATTAATTAGTATTGATTTTCTAAAACAGATCCCGAGTTCCACTAGACTAGTGAAAATTTGCAGATGATACAGTGAGCAAGGATTATAAAGAATATGGGTTAAAGAGTATTGACTAACATTGGATTCTCAAATAAACCTGTGGGCCTGCAAGCATGAACAGTAAATAGGGGCTCAGTCTCTGCAGTCTCTATCTCTGAGAAAGTTGTATGGCAGGATGACCTTATATATATGACTTATATATCATAGATGTGGAAGAAGATGTAGAAAGGCATCCCTCTCCACCAATCTCCATAAACAATCCTTTGTGTTATTTGTGGTTTACAGCAAATGATTGTCAGAGACTAATGTCTGGGCAGCAGAGAATGGTCAGTGCTACCACTTTGAAGCCTCCAGGTCAGCCAGCAAAAGTGTCCACCCTGTTGACCTGCCCTGACAAGAGTGGGGTGGACCTAGCCGACATAACAACCATGCAATGGCACCCAACAGCAACTGCAGGGGAAATTCACTTAGCAGAACCAAGGGCTACTAGAGCAACCAAGGGCTACTACACAGGCACCCTGTGCAAAAGCTGTCTCTCCTTCCAGAACATGCAAATGTAAGCAGGACACATATCCTCCTACCCCCAACACCCGGATGTGGCTATCGAGAGAGTAACTCCACCTGGGATATGCTACAGGAAATTCCTACTTTGATGTGGAAAGGAAGAGGGGAGAAAGACACCTCACATTCATTATTATTAATCATTCTTGGAATAATCCCAGCATCCCATATACCTATAGGTCTAGTTACCAGTGTGGTCAAAATTTGTAAAAGAAATTACCAAATCTGACATTGCAAGAAACATATGGGGGAGGGAAAAGGGACTGGGACATTCTGTCTGGGTTTTTATCTTTCAGAAATCAATATTTATGTATAAAAATGTCTAGAAGGAAAGACACCAAAATGCTGACAATTATAATCTCGAAGTAGAAGAATTGTCCTTCTAATTTTTTATATTTTATAATTTTTACAGCAAATGTCATAAAAATATTTATGCTATACCTAAATGATTTTATACAAATGTAAAAACCATGCTATTTCTATATAGTCTTAAGAGATAGTAGCCAAATATAAAATTGTCCACATGCAGTCATGTGATCCTATTATTGCCCTACATTTAATGAAGCCTATTGTATGCTCAATGGTTACCTGGAAAATATGGAAAAATAAAGAATATTTTCTGAATTTTTTTTTGAAAATAAAACAAAGAAGACCCCACTAAAATGATCCAAGGACCCTACTCAGTAGTCAAAGTTCTTCCTCCCACCTCCTGGATATGTTTCTGGAGACAATCTATCCAAAGAGTGTTCAGAGGCACTAGCAGTAGTTCCTGACCTGGCCTTCACTGCCTTCACTCTTAATTCTGCTTCAGTTCACAGACGACTTCCCACCACCACCAGGGCCTCCACCCAGGCTGCTCTCAACTCTACCTTTGCCTGCCTCCCACATTCTTAATCTTTTCATGTTTAGACTGTTTCCCACTGCTATGAATTAAAATGGAAGATCACTCCCTCCTTTCTGTGTCATGCACATCTTTTGGTCTCAACAAATTAAGGAAGTTTGTGAGCTTGTTTGTTCAGTTTCATCAAACCAAAGCCTCAGTTTGGCTCTCCTACCAGCCAGACTGGGACTGTACCCAATAAAGCTGCCATCTCTTCCTGGAACCACCCTCTGACCTGTGGCTAAATCCTCTCTGATCCTGCCCCTAGTTTGCTAGCCAAATTCTACTTCTCCTATTATGCAACTTAGTGCCTTCTTTGGAAAGTCTTCTCAACTGCCAAATAAGTAGATGCAGATAGATGTCCGCAGTGGAAAAGCAAGGGTAAGTGAAGGCGAAAAGGCTGTATAATTCCACTGCTTGACATATCCCAGCTCCTGTGTCCCCAGCTGTTATCCCCATAGCACTTACTAACAGAATGCTTTGCTCTGGTAATTAAAAAAAAAGAAGAAGGAAATAAGTATACATATAAAAGTAAATGAATGTTCAATCTCAGAGTGTGTGGAAGCCAATTATTAACTCATGTTTGTATTTTTGCACTTGAAAGACCTTGATCAAGCGGTCAAAGGTACTTGACTGTGTTTGGAATAGCGTGACTGGCTGTGCTTCTCTGGCAGTTAAGCTATTTGATTTGCAATGAGATTGTGTTTCCAGAGGAGGGGCAGGTCACCATTAAGTTCTATCCTTTCTTCAAGTTTGGGTGTCCCCCAAGTTCAAGTAACATATAGAAATGGTTATTTTCCTATTTATTTCCCATAGAGAAAGGCAGTTCCTCAGGTTTACAAGGAAATAACATTTCTTCAATGCCAATTGTTAAAAATCAAAACAGGAAAACAAAAAAAAACTTCTGACCTTGCTTGAATTTCCTGAGTTTTTTAAGGCTAAGCAGTTATTGGCCTGAAGTGTAGTGTTCTAGGTGGTTTGAAGGGTGTGTGTGTGTGTGTGTGTGTGTGTGTGTGTGTGTGTATGCACGCACGCGCACGGGTGATTGTCTAACATCAGGTAAGGACTTTGTACACAAAGAACTGGCCATTGTAAAGGCTTACTTTCAATGAGAAGGAGCAAGCAAACTATCAAATGGTGTTTAAAGTCCCTGCAGGTAAATGACCAGCAAGTGTGAACATTTAATGTTCAGATTTCTAGTGGCAATGCGGCCCAGATTCTTCCATCCAGAGAAGCAGAAATCACAACAATGACCGAAATCTATTCAGACAGACAAGACTCACATCAAGAAATAGAACATTACCTACACTCCAAAGGATTTGGCTAAGTTTTCATTAGGATTTTGGAATTTAAACAGATTCCACGGCCTACCATACCTAGGTGGAGCTCAAGTTTAGAATTCCATCCACTGGATCAAGCTGGAAGGAACCTCAAAGATCTCCACAGTGAGTCAAATGAAGAACCAACACAGAGTAGAAGCAACGATTTTTTTTTTTATGTACACACACGTTTAATGATAGGAACAAGGAAGGCTATTTTGACCCAGGACACCTGGCCCACACCTGTACCCTTCTCCCTACATCCAGCTGCTTACTTTTATTCAAAGGACAAAGAACACTGTGTTTGCTTTTATTTCAGGCCATGAACTTAACCAAGATGCTAAGACGTCTCTGAATTTGTTATTTGTTTCTGTTGTTTGTGTATCATGGTTTTGTGTATCATGGTTGTTGTGTATCATGTTTTTTTTGTTTGTTTGTTTTATTTATTTACGCATACAAGAGCTGGGGTGTAGGCCAGAGGTGGGTGGTGGTGGTATTGAGAGGATTCACTAGAGACAGAGTGGGGAAAAGAACAGGCAAAATGACTGAAATACACTGCTGAGGGGAGCAGCGGATGAGACAGGAGAGGTCTGCTGCCTGGCCAGGGATCGAACTTGTGCAGCAGTGGTTGCTGATAGCTTCATAGTACTGAGATTTAATCCTTTGTACCACCAGGGAGGCCCTATAATATCGTGCTGTATTCTATCTCAATCCAGATGCAGGACAAGTACTCCAAAAGTAGCATTGCATGTTTTTTAAATGAAGATGAGGGTTTCTGGAATCCCATTGATGAGGACAATATGAATAACCTCTGCTCACAAGTAAAGTGGCAACTACGACAGCTCATTAGAAAGGTAAGTGGATGCTTACCTTACCATGCTAGACTCCTAATTTCACAAATGAGAAAACTGAAGTTCATAGTGTTCAAGTGATTTTCCCCAAATTCATAGAACCAGGGAAAGTGGAACAGGAGATCCTGGCTGACTCTGGCCTGGAGTTCATTCTCTACTCTAGACCACCTTCCCAGTCATCTAAACTTTTTAACCTACATTGTGGAAACTGAGGCACAAACAGGGCAATGTGTTCAAGGTCACACAGCAATAAAACATGTTTGCCATTGTTTGCTCTTTTATTCAGGAGACACAAGAGGTCAGATAATGTTTTAAATTTTTCCCACATTGTTGATCTCTAGAATTAAACATTTATTTCTGTATGCATATAGGTCTGAAGAAAGAGGAAAGCAAGAGACTTTGAGAAATTGAAGATGATGATATCTCAATTTACAGTTAGTAAATGACAAAATATTACCTTTTTCTGAATTTAACAGGAACTCTAGCAAAAGTATGATGTTAACAGTTTCAGCCACTCGGTGTGATTTCAGCAGTGTGACTCATGTGAAGTCAAGTTTCTTCTCTCAGACTGCTTCCTTCTTTATAATGTGGCTTTTAGTATATATTGATCTTCTGACTACCTGAAAAGGTCAGATAAAAACACAGAGAGAAAAATATTCTGTATATTATTACACACCATCATTGTTCTTAAAAACAGTGGAGACATTCCTGGGCTAGGAGGAGGGAGTGTTTTAGACATGATGTAAGTCCATTATTTGGTGCTCTGTCTCTTATCTCTTTCTAGAAACAGGATGATAGTGATGCTTAGGGCTTCTATTTATAACCCTAATCCATCCTCACAGTTCAACCAACATATCACCTATGATGTTGTTTCTGTGAGAAAGGAAATCAGATGTCCACTTGGGAGTCCTAGAATCACATCTGCTCCTTGGCTTCCCTGGAAGCCGCCCTGGGCAGGAGCCCACTGCACAAACAGCTGTGGGTCCATTGCTTCAGGTGGCGAGCCTGGAAAGGCCAGGTCTGGGGAGGGTCCTCAGCAGCCTATGAATTTGATTCCACAGTCCCAGGGGCTACAGGGGGCAGCAACCTCATAGGGGGCAGGGAAAGGAAACTGGTCAAGAGCAGAAATCTGGAGAATGAGGAGGGTGCTGGGGAGATAAGAGCAGTGGGCATAGATTTTACATTATCTCTTTCCTGCCATTCTTCCTCTCCCTCCCATACGCACATCCGGCTACTACCTAGAATAGAGAGACAGTGGGAGAGGACTCAGAGGGGGCTGGGAGCGGCTGGGAGACAAATGACCTATTTTTTTAGACCCATTAATTAAACAGATTGTTCAAGTAAACATCCTAAGCCCATTACATTTATGATCTCATTTAATCCTCACAACAGTTTGTTATTCTCTTCTTTTTCTTAAAAAAAGATGAAGAAATTAAAGTTCCTATCAGTTAAGGAATTTAGCAAACTCTCCCAGAGAGTTGGGTCACCTCGCCATGGATTCCGTAATCTTTGTTCTGCCGCCCACACCTTAGGAATTACCCTTTTCTCTTTCCTGCTGCTCCTCCGCCTCCTCCTTTCCTTCTGTAGTGGCAGGAAGAGCACAGAGCAGGAGCGCTGAGATTCAAGCAGATGGGTGAAGGAGAAGTCCTGGAGCCCCCAGTGGCTTTTTCAGGCTTTTATTGAGTTTACCAGGTGCACGGCAGACAGGGGTGCTGGGAGGCCAGGAGACTGGCAGGCCTCCCAGCCCCCGGCGAATCTTCACTCTTTCTGGGCTCGCTGGCCTTCTCGCTCTTCTCTCTGCTCATTTCTTCTTCTTGTGGTTCGGCTCCTCTGGCTTCCTGTGATGCTGCCCTTAGGAGCCCAGTCTCAGCCCAGGTGTACCCACCCACGTGTGCCCACACCCTACTCCAGGTGCCCGCCATCAGGCATGCATTCAAGACCACAGCAATCCATCATCAGTTCTAATGGCGGGAGGGCAGAAAAGCCTAACAATCGTTTACCCTACACCTTCCTGCCTTCCAGTCTGTCTCAAAATGAAAGAGAAAGAGAGAGAGATTGCTCAGGGCACCTCTCTCTCTCCCTTCCCATACACCTCTACACTTCACATGGTATTCCCCTATTACCAGGAGTCTGGGTTTGAGTCAGAGAAAGAGAGTGGGAGCTCTAATTGAAGGAGGGCGTACAGAGGAGGGAAATTTCTGGAAGCTGCAAAAACTAACAACAGTGACCAAGCAGAGGCAGTGATGTGCAAAACCCCAAGGGGGTCAGAACTGAATGGAGCGGAACTCAGAGCCCTGGATGAACCAAGTCAGAGGCTATCCATTTCACAGACTAAACCTGTACTGTTTTACTGGTTTTCCCACCTGTTAGTACAAAGACGATACTAGATGTTTAGTAAAAATATGGGAACTTTGCAAAATATCCCTCTAATAAGAATGCTCAGTGCCTTTCATGGAAATGAGGATGACACAGTATTGCCAGGTCACACCTTGATGGGTTGGGTGGGGGGACAGGGGCTGGGGGTATCCAGAGAAGAGCTGTGCCTTACATCTTAGGTTTGAGTCTACCTGGCCATTTCAAGTCCCTGAACTTCACAGTGAACTTATACACACACATGCATGAATTACACACTCACACACACACACACACACAAAGTGAGGTAACATGGTGTAAGGGCATGAATGGGCACAGTGCAGGTTTTCTATGACTCCAGCAGATGAGTGCAGGAGGAGAGAGTCCTGGAGCGCTCAGTGGCTTTGCAGGTTTTTGTTGGGATTTACCAGGTACACGGCAGGCAGCAAGTCTTCACTCTTTCTGGGTTCTCTGGCATTCTCTCGCATTCTCTGTTTCTCTCATGGTTCTTCGCATGGTTCTGCTCTCTGCTCTCTTGGCATCCCCATGAAGCCGCCCTTATAAGCCCAGTCTTAGCCCCGGTGCACCCACCTACACATGCCCACACCCCACTCCAGGTGCCCGCCATCAGGCATGCATTCAGGACCTCAGGGATCCATCATCAATCCTAATGGCAGACGGCAGAAAATCCTGATACTTTTTACTTTACCCTACACATGGCCACCACAATCCATCAGCCTCAGGGAGCCTGAGGAACCCTAGGCTGACCTATTATGACAGGCAGCTCACTTTGCCTGTGCTGCTCCATTGTGACCTCCCAAAGATTTTATCAGAAACAGCTTTCCCAGGCAGAGGGCCACCCTTCCATCACCACAGTGTCAACTGCCACAGGATTCATCCCTATTCCCACCTTGCCTCACACAAACTGCTTGAACAGCAGCTAGGTTGATAATCTTATAAAGAAATTCCATTAGATGCAGCAGAAGGACTGTGGATATTCTACAGGCAGTTTAAACTTTTAGGAAAATTAACAAGCCTATTTAATACTATTTGCAGATGCTTTTGAAAACCTATGAGGAAACCGTTACTACAGTTCCAGGTAGTATTTTTTGGTTATTTTCATTTTCTGCTGTCAACTTTATGACAGGGTGAGCAGCGCTTTCTCTTTGCTCTGATCCACACATCCTACCTCTCACCTCAAGCCACTTGATTCTATTTCCCTCTTTGCCTTGGCTGGGAGAAAGCTAGGTATCAAATCTGTGCCCCATCTTGGTCTGAAATTTACTGTAGCTGTCATTTTTCTGGTTATGGATTTTCCTTTCTTCAGTTTCTTCTATTATTTATCTTTTCACCTTGTGATGTGTTATAAATAAGTCATCCAAATCCTTTCTGGAATATGATTTTGGAAGTAGGAAAAATAAGGCCCCCCCAAAGTTGACCATCTTCTCTGCTTCTGACCACCCGCAGGCTCTTCACATTTCTGGATGCAAAGTCCCCTCTCCATCATCCTGCAGCCCCTCAGTCTCATGCTGTGGTCTCTCCTCCTTGGCCATCTTCCTGTTCATGGACTCCTCTGGGCATCCACCCCCATCAGTGCTGCTGCCTGGTCTGTCTTCTGTGGTTCTCTGTCTACTTTTTGGTGTTCCTGACCTTTCATATAACTGGTTCCTTCTCCTGCTCCATTCTTATCACCTGTCACCCCTTCAGAGAGACCTTGCCTGGGCACCTTTCTAAGAAATTTCCGCCACATTCTTATTTCTATCACACTTGCTTTGTTCATTCCTTTTATTTGTATATGGTTTTAATCTTTGTTCTGATTCCCCCCTAGATTAAAGATCTTGTCTTTCCCTTACCTCTCTATACCTAGTACCTAACTATGCCTCAAATCTAGTAGATTCTCCCTTCCCTTGCTCCCCACTCCTTATCAACCCCACATTCAGAGTATATGTGTGTGTTTATTGCGATGAAGTTCACATAGCATACAATTACATACTTTAAAGCACACAATTCAGTGGCAGTTATTGCAACCCCTGTGTCCTGCTACCACTATCTCTCTCTACATAGAAAGTTCTTAATGCATATATTTTGTTAATGAATAAATAAATAAAATCACTGAATTCAATCTGCAACTTCTTCCAGGCACACCAGTCTGGAAGAGAAGAAAGTTTTTCAATGCATGTTGTAATGACGTCTTCCTAATTTTCAGCTATCCTTTTCTAATACTGTAAGCTTCTGCCTCACTTGACAACCCCATTTATTAAATATGAAGGGCAAGATTTTATTCCAGGGCCTAAACATTCTTTCTGATTATTTCCCCCAAGGAAAAAACAGTGGTCAGTCAGGCGAGCACTCCATCCTTTCTTACGAGGCACACCAGATCCACATTCTGCAGTAGATGCATGTACTGTTTTCAGTCAGAAGAAAAATATTCTTGCTTATTCACCCCAATAAGGTGTAGAAATCATCATTTTCTCAGTATTGCAAGACGTATCTATATCACTCCAATATACATAAGTGCAGGTTTATTTTCTGAGAGATATTTGCCATAGTCATTAGGAAGTCTCCACTTTTTAGAATTCACTTTCAAGTATAGATTTTCCCTTATCCTTACAATGATCCCTAATGCAAGATATTTATAATTGAATTCAGTTACTGAATATTTAAAAACACAGTGTTAAGGTCTGGGGCAGGCAAAGCATTATGAATTATGTAACAATGGAGGTTTAGGTGAATGGACACATCAACCTTGAAAGCTGAGCATTCTGAGAATAATATTTAATTGACTTACATCCCCCTGCCATATTTGTTTTCAGTATGGTATGAATTCCCACCCATCCTGAATAACTAACAGCTAAACACCATGTGGAGAAGTGATTCTCATTTCCCATTCATTCCTCTCCGGTGGAGTTATAGCACCTCCTTTCAGCTCCCTCTGTTGGTAACCTCAATTAAGGACTCCTATTCTCAGTTCTGAATAACTGTAATAGTCTGGCAACTTGCCAGTGTCCTTTTTTGCCCATCAACCTTTACTGTGAGAGAGTAAGCCTGAAGGAGAGCACATTTCTTTCCTCCTCCTTTACCAGAACCAATTAGCTTTTTCCTATATCCTTCAAATCCAAGTCTCTTGGCCTAACATTCAGATGCTTCATAGTTTGGCTTTTCATTCAAGCCAAATACTGAACTCCTTCTTCCCAGGCACACCAGCCTGGCAGAAAGTTTTCCATGTATGTGTGCCCATGTGCCCATGTCCTAGGAATGCTTTGTACATCCTGCCTTGGGCTCTAGGATGCCCTTCTCCCTGTCGGCCCCAAGCCAGCCCATCCTCACCCTGCTCAGACATTTACCCTAACACCTCAAACTCTTTCTTATATTCTTTCTCTTTGTGCCTGTAAGATTACCTGGCATAGATGTAATGGGCACTTGTGTTTGTTGGGCAAAGTAAATGAAAAGACCTTAGTGCAAACACTCCTGTGTCTCAGCTCCAAAATCAGCAGGAACTTCCCCCTCCTTTGAATGCTCATCACTCTTTCTGTTTCTCATGAGTAAATTTTCACTTTCCAGTTCATATCCTCCTAACAGACTATAAATTCCTAAACTCTGTCATTATAACCTATGATTAGCCTCTGAAGTCCCTGTAGGGTGTAATTGCAATGATTTATCCCTGGCAATTTTTGTTATTTACCCATTGTGAATATTAAGATGTATTATTTAACATTTTATTGAATATTATTTTTAAATATTTATTAATGGTTACTAAATATTAAATATGAAATGTTGTTTCTATATTTTTTTAATTTTAATAACCAATGTAAGCACACTGGGAAGCTTCAACTGATTTTTTTTAAGAGGGTAGTTTGTTGGATTTCTATTTTTCGGGGGTTGCTCTATAGTACTTTGGATGCTTGTCAATAAATGTTATTTATTATGAACTAATGCAATTAGTGATTCATATGCTCATATAAACATCATTTTGTATTCCTTTAGGGAGATCATGCAGGACAAATGTTGGATTCCAATTTGAAGCATCTATGGGCAATTGTTTTCTCTGTTCCTCTTTTAAATCAGTAGTAACTAGCAAAGAGGAAAAAAATAATTGAGAAGATGAAAATTGGTATCACTTTGATTTTTTTCTATGTATAATTCAAAGTGGAAATTTGTCAATCCTAGATTATTTGTGCACTTTAAATCACTCAGCAGGGTTATTATAAGTCAACAGTCTTTTTTTTTTTTTAGAAAGTGGTAAGAAAACTTCACTTTTCTATATTCTGCTTGGATCTAACCTCTGAGGCGCTAATGAATTATAAGCCACATTACTGCTTACTCTTCCCATCTAAAGAACTTTTCAAATTAAACATAAGCTTCAGTAGATTGGTCATCCTACTAAAATGTAGGCTGTTTTGAATCCTATTAAACATCCTATTAAATGTAAGCTGGTTTTAGAAACCCATAGATTCCACTTTGGAAGCCCAGTGTGCTTACAATGCCTGTGAACAGTAATGTATTTGAGAGGCAGTTTGTCAAGTACTAATGATACTATGTCCCTTCTATTTTAGAAAAGCAACAAAATGGTTCCTCCATAGTAGGACAAAAGTTTCTTCAGAGAGCAGCAGCTCACATAACTGGTACCAGTTCAAGAAGTACAGCCTCAGCTCCAAGTAAGAGAAACAACAAATATATAGTTTAAAAGAAATCAATGGAAGAATTTGCCCCAAATAATTTATTCTTTTAGCTTTTGTCTGAAATGTTTACATCACTATTTACAAAAAATGTTCAGTGGTAATCAGGTCTCAGACTGATGCAAAGTTTTATGTCCAAGATTACAGACAAATAGCTCAGTTCCTGCTATGCATAACTAACCTCAGAAAAATAATTATGAAGTAGGAGAAATTTGCCTTTGAGTTTCTTTGGTACTCATTTTTGTTAATTTTTCCTTCTTTAAGGTAATTTCTCTTACTTCCATTGTCTTTCTCCTCTTCAAAATTTCTAAATTAGTCATTAAATTTCACCATGTAAATTTCACCATAAAAATCCTAGTGGAATTTGTATTATGTTGGACCATAAAAGCTTGCTAATATGTGACTATTTTTCACTTTTGGAAATGTCATTCTCATCAGCATAATGAAATATGCTGAGCCTAATCTTTAAGCATAGAGCAAGTGTCCATGTAGCAAGACCCAAGTGCGTGGGTCTTTCAGTCTGCATACGTTGGAATCTCAGTTCCCCTTGCATAAATAGAGGTTTTGAGCACATTACTTAACCAAATCAAGCTTCAGTTCTTCATATGCAAAGCAGAGACAGTCTTGAGCTCATAAAACAATGATGATTAACACATGCAAAATACCTTGTATATTAGAAGTACTCAATAAACAATTACTTTAAAGTTTTATGTCCAGTTCAAGAAATTTCAGATGTCAGTTAATGGATGAAAAGGTTATTGATTTTGTTTGCTGTTTTTTTTTTTTTCTGGGCAATTGCCTTTCTAGTATTCCTAAATTCATAATTTATAAATAACTGACATTCTGTCGGTGAGTGAGACGTTATTATAATATTACTATTTACTATTCATCAACAAATACGGTAGTTGCTTTAAACTCTTGAAAAACTAAAATTTGTATCTATCATGGAGATGAGCCTGACTTTAAAGGAATTTCATATTTTAGTAGAGTTATTTTGTATTCAAAGTCTTTGGGATTTATAGATCCAAGTATCCAAGCTCTTTAAATCTGGGCTCTCTTACTTTGTACCCTCTTACTGTGAACTAGAAGGGGATAAACCCAAAGCAATAGCAAGAAGTTATGAACTGTAGGCTAAGGAGATAGATGTTTCCTTCTACATTGTCAATTTGAGCTCCCCAACACCCTGAGATAGGCAGGGGTTCAGTATAGAGGTTCTGTCCAAGAGCGAAGATTGACATTTAAGTCAACCACCCTCTGTGCTACCATTCAAATGTGGGAAATGTGGCATAAGTGGCTGACAAGGTAGAGAAAGGAAGGAATTCCCAATAAGTCACAAATAATACAAGAGCCTCCAGATTTCTGTATGACTGAAACTTAAAATACATCTAAGATTAAAGGATCAAGGAGTTTTATTAAAATCCTTTCTAATCACAACCCAGGCTATTGGGAAACTTGTTTGCTACAAATTCCCTTCTATTAACTGTTTTTCTCTCTAAATTTCATTTAGACTCCAAGAATGGAAAAGTTTTGGGTCAGAAAATAGACAGTTGGGAGTCATCAAGAAAAGGACATTCATTCTTAGACAGGTTTTACATATGGAATGGAGAGCTGGTTATCCCTAACACAGGCTTTTATTACATCTATTGCCAAACATACTATCGATTTCTGGAATCTGATGAAATTTTGGAAACAGTTTCAACAGAAATGAACAAAAAGAAAAACAAACAACTGGTACAATATATTTACAAATACACTAGCTATCCTGATCCTATACTGCTGATGAAAAGTGCTAGAAATAGCTGTTGGTCGAAAGATTCAGAATATGGACTCTACTCCATCTATCAAGGGGGAATATTTGAACTTAAGGAAGGTGACAGAATTTTTGTCTCTGTCACTAATGACAATTTGATTGCCATGGACCAAGAGGCCAGTTTTTTCGGGGCCTTTTTAATTTACTAAGTGATCTGAAGAGGAAAAAACAGTGCCTGCAAAGTGACATTTCACTTTGCAGGGTGATATATTGTGATGCTACATCACACAAAGGAAAGCTGCTTGATGCGTGACTGAAAGACTGAAGCACATCCCCGAAGAGTGACAAGCTTATTCCAGAAAAGTGAAATTGTCAAACATCTTACATTGTTCTTACTAACAAATCTAGAATACTTTGTTTTCAAACACTGCGGCAAGACCTTCTGTCTTTATCATCTACTCTTGTGAAGATTCTGTAAGGAAGAAGGATCCATCTCGTAAGTAATATATCATATTGGTAACTTTCAGGTTCCTTTCAGAGACAACATTCCCAAAGTTGAAGGAGAAAAGAACACCATAAGAAGATCATGAGAGGCAATCTGCTGTCAATATATACGATGTGCAAACAGAATTTGCATTTTGTAGGACCTGCAGGATTTGTGTCATACCCCCGGACTGAATGGAAATAAGAAAATTGCACTGAAAAAAGTACTATTTTGTGAAAGAAAGAAAGAAAGAAAGAAAGAAAGAAAGAAAGAAAGAAAGAAAGAAAGAAAGAAAGAAAGAAAGAAAGAAAGAAAGAAAGAAAGAAAGAAAGAGAGAAAGGACAAGTTAATGTACAGTGAACAAGGGACATTTTCTATTTTTGCATGACTTGTGTTTTTCAATGCCAGAAAAAGTCAAACTGGCCAGAAGCACTAAAAATATTTAAGATAAAGTACTCTATAATGAGTGATCAAGTTGTCATAAATCAGGGAATTTGGTCTTCTTTGAACAGCAGGAAAAATAGGAAATTGGACATGACAAACACAGGTAATCATCAGAAAAGAGCCAAATATTCTGTCCCTCCAACTCCCCACCCTCTGCCAAATGTAAATATCTAGTATATATTTGCTTAAGGAGCATCATTTATTTGCCAGAAGAACAATTACTTTTGCTTCCAAAATTGTTACACAAAATCTTTTATTTTAGCAATCTTTTATTTTATTTTCAATCTAAACAGTTGGCGGAGGGGGTGGGAATCAGTTGGAGTATTCGTCTAACCTCCTCTAAATGTTATCCCTAAACACAACATAATTTATACACTTTAGTTGTAGGTTCAAATGTTCATTTAAATGTGTTGTGATAAAATAGGTATTCAAAAGGACTCATTCAAATTTAAATTTATAACATACTGCAGACACCTGTCACTTCTGACCCTCCTTGCTCTAATTTTTTTTAATAATATTAATCAAGTTCTTACATCCCAACAAATTAACTTATCTATTATTTTGTATACTATGTAATCTCAAATGGTATTTTGCAATCAAATAAAGATGAAACCAAAAGGGTTAATCTCTAAATAGGGAATTAAAGGCAAGAATTAATGAGTACAGACTTACTGCTACCCCCATGGGGTTGCCTATTCTATGGTCATAACATTTTTGAACTGGAAGAAAATGTAGAAGTTTTTCTAATCTAATTTCCCATTAAAAAAGCAGAAATTACAATATCAATACTTCAGTAGATCAGTTCCATGGTGGAAAACTCACTGCAGTAGAAGGCTGCTCATCTCATTATTGGGTAGTTTTAATTTTTAAAAAGTCAACCTTAATTTCAATTCAAATTGACCTCCATGATACTTTCCAGGCAAATTATTCAGTATTTTTAAAAACTGCCTCTTCTTGCTAGACTATAAGCCAGGAGACATTTGGTCCCATTTACATCTGTTTTTCTACTACCTAAAAAAAAATACCTGAACATAACACCCATACAAAACATATTTGTGAATAAATGGATAACTGAATGATTGAATAATGAATATCTAATCATAGAAGAGAAAACAAATCAATATTCCCTCACACTGAAATAGTTTTGGAGAATTTTTAAAGTAGTCTCAAAGTGAAAAGGACTTTTTTTTTTATGAATGAATGGAATGAATCGAGAAAACGAATTAGACAATTTAAAACGTGTAAACTACAACTTCCACACCTCCTACCATGACCTAAGCAATGGAATAAATAAGACTATTGCCTTGTTTTCCTCAGGGGGAGCCAGGTGGGATTATGGGCCCTCCTGGACTTCCAGGTCCAAAAGGTGAGGCTGGTCCTCCAGGGAAAAGCCTGCCAGGGGAACCAGTAAGTACCAGTCCGAAAAGGACTTTTTAAAGCACAACTTAAAATCCAAAGAAAAATAGTAAAATGTTTGATGACATGTAACAGGGTGGGAGAAATTATCAGTTTTATATTTTTTATACTAAAATTTTAAAATGTGTTACTTTTTTTTAATAAAAATAATACTATTAAAGCATGTCGTTTTGGTTTATCTAGTAAATTTGGTTTATAGTACCAAGAATACTAAAAATGGGGAACAGAACTACTAATTTCTTTCATCTCTTTTTCTATATCTGCTACCTGGAATATCTTAATATATCAGTCCTTATTTTATGGTTAATGTTATTGTAGGTTGAATTGTGTCCCCCTCCCCAAAAAAAGATAGTTGGATTTCTAATCCCCAATATCTCAAAATGAAACCTTATTTGGAAATGGGATTGCTATAGATGTAATTAGTTAAGATGAGGTCACAGGGCCTCGCTGGTGGCACAAGGTTTTAAGACACAGCCTATGAAGCTATTCACAGCCACTACAGCACCAGTTCGATCCTCGGCTGGCCAGGGAGCTACCGATATGGCACAACAGACCTCTTGTGACAGTGTTGTTAAGCTCCCCTCAGCAGTGTATTTCAGTCAATCTGCCTGTTCTGTTTCCCACACTGTCTCTGCTGAATCCTTTCACACACACACCCCACACACGTCTGGCCTATACCAAATTTCTTGTATGCATAAATAAATAAGCCTTTAGAAAAAAAGATGAGGCCATAATGGAACAAAGTGGCCCTTAATACAACATAACATGTGTCCTTATAAGAAGAAGGAGACTTGATACAGACACACAAGAGAACTCCATGTGACAACATAGGCAGAGGTTGAGATGAGACAGCTGCAAGCCAAGGAACACCAACAATTGATGTCCATCATCAAAAACTAGGAAAAGATAAGGAGAGATTTTTGCCTAGACTCTCAGAAGTATCTGAGATGTAGAATCTCAGAAATCTTCTGACATCGTGATTTTGGACTCCTGGCTGCCAAAACTGTAAGAGCATTACTTTCTGTTGTTGAAAGTCACCGAGTTTGTGGTACTTTGGTCCAGGAGTTCTAGCAAATTAATACAGCTCTTCAAATCCTGTTCTAAAAGTCTTTTCTACTGATATTATATAACTGTCACCATAAAACTTTAAAGTTTAACCTTTCATAGTGTGACAGTGTTGTTAAGCTGTAATTTAATTCATATGTGATATGAGAAAAGGTTGTAATTTCATCTTTCTCATATGAGTAACCAGTTGTCCAATACTCTTTTCCCACTGATTTTAATGATCCATATTTGTGTTCATACCATCCATTTGTTTTTTTTCAATTGAGGTAAAATACACAGAATATTGCCATTTTTACCATTTCAGTGTAAAATTTCGTGGCACTGTTGTGTAACCACATTACTATCCACCACCACTATCCAGAATATTGTCATCATCCCAAATTAAAACCGTGTGTGCATTAAACAAAAACTCTTGATTCTTCCTTCTCCCAGACCGTGGTAACCACCATCTTACTTTTTTTTTCTATGAATTAGACTACTACAGTTGTTTCATACAAATATAATTATATAATTGTATAATAATTCTATTGCAACTTATTTCACTTAGTATAATGTCTTTAAGATTCATCCATATTGAAGCCTATATATCTACATACACATATAGGTACATTGCATTTGTTTATTCATCCACCTGTCAATCATACCACCTGTTTAAAAGATTACTATTATTTTACTACCTATCTGACATATCTTGATGTTATATAATATTACCCTCCTTTAGTCCTCTGTTTCAAAATGGTGTTCCTATTCTTAAACTATATTTTCACCTATGAATTTAGAGACTGCGTGGAAATCATGTATACCCACACATGCAAACTTACAGTTTCTAAGATATTGTGATAATGTGGGGGAGAAAAATGTTCTCCTCTATCCCTCCTCTATTGAGTCTCCATCTTGGTTTAAGAATCAAATTGACGTGAAACATATTATTAGGATAAAGGATACATACTTTCATTATTTATTTAAATATGTACACAGAAGACTTCATAAGAAAAATTCAAAAGTTCAGTTTGAATATTTACATACTGAGTTGGACAAAGAATAGTAAACTGAAAATGAGGCAAAGTAAAGGCGTTTGGGCTAGATTAGTTAATTTGGAAGACGTCACTAGGAGGATAGGGATTACTTTGACAAGATTCTGTCTATAAGCCAAAGAACCCTCAGCAAACACTGAATCTGCTAACACCTTGATCATAGACTTCCCAGAATACAGAACTGAAAGAAATAAATTTCTGTTGTTCACAAACTACCCAATGTATGGTATTTTGTTATAGAATTCAAACAATTAAGACAAGGAGATAGAGAAGAAACATTTGAAGAAATAGTCAAAAATGTCCCAAATTTTAAGAAAGATGTGTATCTGCAATTTCAAGAAGATAAATGAAATAGAGACCCTCATTAAGACACATTATAAACAAACTATCCAGAAACAAAAAGTCTTGAAAACACCAAAAGTTGATTGTCACACACAATAGATCCTCAAAACAGTTATGAGTCGATTTCTCAATAGAAACTTTCAAGACCAGAAGATAGTCAAATGATATATTTAAAATGCTTAAAGAAAAAACCGTCAGCTGAGAATTTTATATCTAGTAAAACCATTGTTCAAAATGAAGGTTCTCCTCGATTAACCTTCCTAGTTGGGCACATAATCACCAAGAGGCAACTGGAAATCAGGAACAAAGTTTATCTAATTAGAAGAAACCTAAATTTCAAAAGCTGTGACTTACCAATTAATTGTTATTATAGTTAGATATTCAGAAGTTCAAATCACATACGTTTTAATACCATGAATGGTTTATAAGAAGGGATGCCTGGCTGTTCTTTTCTCTGCTTAAGATACAAAGCCCACCACACAGGAGGCAACTGTGAAATGGATATTTTAGAACAATAATATTCTGACTGACTGTGGAATCCCTTCTTAAAAAGCATGAGTACAGAATATCTGATTTTTTTGAAAATGAGTAACATGGGACTTCTAGTCCATTGTTCCTGTACTTTGTCTCATGAAACCTTGCTTGAATGATAGAGAAGTAAAAAAACTGCTACTCCTTTTTTTGATAGGATGGATCTGGGCAGAGCAAGGGATTTTTGAAGACATAATCTTGGAGAAGGGGCAATTCAACTGTTGGAGAGATTGCCTGGCAGGCTTCAGTGACAAGGGGAAGCCTTCTCTCAGTAGAGACCAGAAAAGGGAACACCTTATTGTCACACACTGGGAGCAGCCACCAGGTGGCGAGGTTCCCTCATTTTGTTCATGGTCAAAATGTTCCAAAGGTAGGAGGTAATAAATGACTTCTCATTCTCTGTTTAAATAAAGCAAAAGCAAAAGGGAATGGTTTCCCTATCTGGA